CGAACTCTGTGGAGCCTTCGGTCTCCTGCGTGGAGGCTGAGCTCTGAGTTGTGGTTGTGTAGTCGTCGACTACATGCCAGAAGATCACTCCTGCTGCACTCCCCTCGACCTCGTCGCTCTCGTTGGAATATGTCTGCTGAGACTCTTGAGCGGTCTCGTTTGTTTGTGGTGACTGGGTTGAGTGGAAAAGGAGAACAGAGTCTCTGGAAACATCCTCCTGAGCTGTGGTCGGGCTCGACTCGGTGGACGTCTGCTGGGACGCTTCAAGGGTCGATTGCGTTTTGGCTGTCTCGGTCGTGAGCGAAGGGACGAGGAAGCCGTCCCCCAGGACCTCTCGGAAAAATTCAGCCACGGGTTCGACGGGGATGTGGGTCTCAGCTGGAACAAAGAGGTGGAAAAAAACCCATGGATCACTTGTAAGTATTTACCTGCCAGCCCTGACATGAGCGGAAAGGAAAGTCACCAAGGTTTTTTTTTTTTTTTTTTTGATGGATCACAAAGGGATTGCACAGAGCTTACGTGCTTCGCCCCAAATTCTTGTGTTAGCTTGTTTTGTGGGCTGCTTTGATAAGGTGTGGTGGGAGACGGTAATGATTAACCCGGGTGACTAATAGGAGCATTAGTGGGTTAACAAAAGAGAAGCAGCCTCATCAAAGCATCAGTTTTAATAACTGACACACCCAGAACAACGAGAGCAAACCGTGACTCTTTTTTTTTTTTCTTTTCTGAGTTTTAGTTGGAAGGAAGCCACCGTGAGGATTTTGCGTCATTAAAGCGAAGGAAAAAAAAGGCGGGAAAACAAATAACACTCGAATAAAGTATTTAAGATTTTCTCAAGTACAGTTTTTTTTAGATCTTGTACTTTTCCATTTCATGAGGAGATATTTAACTTTTAATATATTTTCCTGCAACTACAGATTACTTTTTAGACTGAGATTTAACATTAAAATGTAGGGCTTGCAGCCCTTTTTGTAAGGTCCAAAAACGTCTTCAAGCTCTAAGCAGTTCCACCAAAGAAAGTTTTCGCTTCATTTAAATTCTTGTTCAGGCTCCAGTGAGTCAGAATTGTTCATTGAATTAAAGCAAAGATTACAGAAGACTCCAAGATGGGTGCAAATTTGCTCATCGGAGTTTGTTTTTTCTTCTTACTACAATATCTTTTGCACAGTAAAATGCATAAACAATCCAATAACGTGATGCCAGTCTTTCTGCAGAATGCCTACTTTGGATAAATTCAATTCATTTTGGTGTAATGAAGTACTTTGTCCACCACTGACCACGACTTAAACCATAGTCTGGTTTCAAAGCGGTTATTTCTTAATTAAAATGCTTTTTTTTTTTTTAAACCAGCGAGAGGCCTGAGAATCAGATCACACATCTCCACTGTGCATTTCTGCCCAGTCATGTTCGACGCCGGTGTTCCCTATGAGGTTACTTTGCTGATCTTCAGTTTCAGCGCATTCAAGACAAACGCATTAATGCACCTCCTGGAGCAGCTCGGAACGTTCTACAAAGACTTCTGTGTGTGATCTGGAGGTGCCGGCGAGACCGGCGCACCGGTGAAACGGGACTCTCGCAGAAAGAGTCGGAGCTGAAACGTAAAGAGCATCTTAGGTGGCGGCAGGGGGAAGTGCTGACTCACCGGGTGAGGAAAAGGACACCATGGGAATTATTGAAATTTTCAGAGGACTGCATAAAAGAATGACTTTGTCTGACTGAAAATCCATTTTCGCAGCCCTGAGATGTGAGAATGACATTTTACCAAAGAATTCCATTGACCATGAATAATAACGTGGCTGTTATTTCTTCTTTTGAATCAGGATGTAAGCAAAAAGTCTATTTTTATGGTTTAGCTTTCAAAGACAAAATCTTTTCACGAATCACAGTGACGCAAAACATGTTGATTTATATGAAGAAGTGTTAAAACAGATAGTAGGGGAAAAAAATAAAAAAATAAAAGTTACTTACAGGTAATAGGTGTTGACTGGACAACAGCAAGAAGTCCAAGAAATACCCCCAAAAGAAGTTTCATCATCTTGAGACTGTCAGAGAGCTTAAAGTTACTGATGCACTCGACTGATTGTATGAAGCAGATGAATCACGCTGCTGCCTTTTATACACAACAGCAGGCAGGTGTCTCATCAATGCCTAGTGACACACAAACACACACACACACACACACACACACACAGAGGAAGGCTGGGAAACCTGTCGGACACTCCCTCTTCCTCACCCACATTCTCACGCTGTTACCTTTTTTTTTTTTCATTCAACCTCAGGCGCAGCAAACGAGCGCTCGAGATAAAATGATCGAGATGAAAAGAAATCCATTTGTTTGACATAATTCATTTCAGGTCCACGGAGTTAAATGGCAACCGAATGTTTGTCATGCTTTAGTGTTTAAGAATATATCGCGAGGTATGGCAGTGATGTGTTGGAAAATTCAAATTATATGTGTTGAAACAAAAAAAAAAGAATCTACAGAAATAGTTCCACATCACTAGAAGAAGCCCGTTTTCGTGTTTTATTCCAACTCTTTCTCTGAAGTGTGTGAAGAAACGGACTTTAAACCGTTATGTGTTTGCTCGGGAAGTTCATTCAGGTTCACGTAACTCAAAGTGAGATGACAACAAATACAGACACAGATGAGGCTGGAAGTCTGTACAATGCTTTTGTGCTTAAGAATATAAGACAAGAAATGGCAGCAACATTTTAGAAAATATCAACGTATTAAAACAAATTTTAAAAAAGAGCTACAAAAATATTTT